CGCCAAAGGGGCCCAACGGCTAGTTTAAGCTTTTTTGGGGGAGTTTTTTACAAAAATCCCCCTCACCCAAAAAAAATGACATAAATGCCCCCCCAAAAGATATTTAACTAGTTTAGGGGGCTTTTGGGGAAAGTTATAAGTAACTTTATAGTGACCAAAATACCCCTCCCAACAACTAAATAACAACTAGTTTTTTGGGTATTTTGGGCAATTGAATTATGTTAAAATCCTATAAATAGCCCTATCCTCCACCATTCTCATCACACCAATTCAGTAATTCTCTTAATATCTTCTCTCTCTCTCTCTCTCATACTCATACATTCTCAATTCTCTGCAATTTGAGTAATTATGATTAGTTGATTGTCTGATTCTGCATTCTCCAATTCTTAAGTCTCAACTTTATTGAAGTTTTGACTTTCAACAAGAAGAAGGCTTGTTCAACTAGCTCAAGTATCTCAATTTGGGAGGCTTGGATGTTGAAAGGCTTCAACCGTTGAAATCAAGTTGGGATTTTGAACTGGCAATCCAAGTAAGTCGAATTAGATTAATTTTTATATTTTTAGAATTAAAATAAAATGGTCGGCTCTTCTGAAAACCGATTCTCCAACATGTTCACCATGGATGATATTCAATCGCATCATGGTAGTGTTAGCACTGATGCGATTGATGTCGATGGAAGTGAAACTTTGAAACTTTCACCCCTAGTATAGATACTAGGGGAAAAAGGAGGGTTTCTAAGCTAAGTAGCCCGGTTTGAAAAATTTTCAAAGTAGAGGATATTGAGGGGAAGGGGAAATGGTCGTTTGCCAAAAATGTAGGAAAGACTTTAGTTATTGTAGCAAGGGTAGTACAGGTCATTTGAGCAGACATCTTCTCACACATGAGCGAGAGGAAGATGAAGGGAGAGAAACAACCCAAACACAGATTGGGAGGGGGAGTAGTTTCGGTATTTTTAAATATTCACAAGAAAAAATGAGACAAGAACTTGCTAAGTATATTGTACATGCGGAACAACCATTTATATTAGCTAAAGATTCAAAGCTAGAAAAATGGTTGCATAGTTTTGTAAACCCACAATATAAAAAAGTTTCTAGGAATACTATAAGAATTGATACTTTAAAATTTTTTTATTCATATAAGCAAAATTTAATTTCTTTGTTTGCAAATCTCAATTCTAAAGTTGCAATTACTTTGAATGTTTGGACATCCAAATTTAATATTAGTTATATTTGTGTTACTGGTCATTTCATTGATGAAAATTGACTTTTGAATAAAAGAATTTTAAGTTTTATTAGGCTTGAATGGCCACATAGTGGCCTAACTATTGCTGCAAGTATTTTAAATACTTTACATGCTTATGGAATAGAAAATAAATTATTTTCTAATAGATTTGATAATGTCAGCAATAATGATTCTACAATAAATATTTTAAAATCTCAATTAAACCATGCTTAAATGGTAAATTATTAGATGTACATGTCACATCTTAAATTTATGTATTCAATATGTCTTGAATATTATTTCTACTCATATTTCAAAAATTAGAAATTGTATTATATATATAAAAAGTTCAGGGGCAAGAAAACAAAAATTTAAATATTTATGTCAAAATTATGATTTAAAATATAAACACTTTAAATTAGATGTAAAGCATAGGTGGAACTCTACATATGCTATGTTAGAAAGTCATATATCTCATAAACAAATTCTTTCTGATTTTTATAATTTAAAGTTGTCTAACGATATGATATTTAAGGAAGACCGGGAAATGGCAAGTTGTATATCTCATAAACAAATTCCTTCTGATTTTTATAATTTAAAGTTGCCTAATGATATGATATTTGAGGAAGACTAGGAAATGGCGGTCTATATAAGAGATTTTTTAAAACATTTTTATGATGCAACTAATGAATTATCTACAATTTATTATCCAACTAGTTGTAATTTACCTTATCAATTAATGGTAATTAGTGATTGTTTTGCAAAATATAGAAATAATCCACAATTTCAATGTATTGTTGAAATTAGGAAAAGTAAATTTAAAAAATATTGGGAGAATATTTCTCCCCTTTATTGTTTAGCGCCTATGGCCTAGCACGATTTTGGACTGGCCCGGCACGGCACAAACACAGAGGTCCATGCCGTGCTGGGCCAGGGGGTTCGAGGCCCACGGTCCGACATGACAGCTCGTGTTGTGCCGCCCGCGGCCCGCAATCCGGTACGACCCAACACAACCCATATATTTTATTTATATTTATCTATATTTTATATATAGTTATATAATGTTATATAAATTATAATTATATAATAATATATAGTATATAATATATTAATAAAATAAATGTTTTTTATTTTATTTTATTATATTAATTTATTTAATTATTGCATATATAAGCAATTTTATACACAAAATTCATAGAAAATTAAAAATTTAAGTTTTGTGTCAATTTTTTAAATAAATAGCTTTGGCCTAATGCACGGCCTGACCTGGCCCAAGGCTCGGCCCACAGACCACTTTACACCTCTAATTAGACCTTAGGATTAAGAAAGATAGTTTAGATATTTTACTCGAATCATATTGTGAAAATATGAATAGTGATATAGGAAATAAAAAAGAATAAATTAATAATTTATTATTTGTAATGTACAGTTTGTATGAATCTGAAGTTGTAGGATTCCTATAACTTCTACTTTTGACCTTGAACCCAGTAGTAGAAGATAAAAACTTTTTTATTTAATAAGTAGAAGGTAGAAATCTACTAGTTCTACAACAAGTTCATTTACTGAACTTAATTTTTATTTACAAGCAAATTTTTCTAATTTAGGTGAAGGATCAAATAATTTTGATATTTTAGCCTGGTGGAGTGAACATTCAAAAAATTATTCGGTTCTCGCCGCCATGGCACGTGATCTACTAACCCCTCCAATGTCTACAATTCCATCGGAGTCTTGCTTTAGTGCAGGTACCAGGGTGCTGGATAACAAAAGAAGCTGCATGAACGATGAGGGCTTAAGATGTGCATTTGCTTCAAAGATTGGCTAGATGCAGAAGGTAGATTACAAGACAAGGGAGGGCATGATACTACACCAAATATTTCACCCAAAGCAAATGATGAAAGTCATGAATGATGATTCATGAATTTGACTACTAGTATAGGATTTTTTATTTTTTAAATTATTGTAAATTTTTTTAATTTTATTTAATTTATTTGATATATATATTTTTTAATTTTTTAACAATGTAATTTTGTATTTTCAATTT